GCGGTTCAGATTTTCTGTTTTTGTGATTCAGTCGCAGTAGGTTGTATGTTTATAATAATTTATCTAATACCTCTACGTCAGGGATCCCCAACCCCCGGGCCACGAACTGATATGGGTCCGTGCCCTGTTAGGAACTGGGCCGCACAGCAGGAGGTGAGCGGCAGGCAAGCGAGTGAAGCTCCATCTGTATTTACAGCCGCTCCCCATCACTCACATTGCTGCCTGAGCTCTGCCTCCTGTCAGCATTATGGTGAGTTGTATAATTATTTCATTATGTATTACAATGTAATAATAATAGAAATAAAGTGCACAATAAATGTAATGTGCTTGAATCATCCTGAAACCATCCTCCCCCTGCCCCCAGTCCGTGGAAAAATTGTCTTCCATGAAACCGGTCCCTGGTGCCAAAAAGGGTGGGAACCGCTGCTCTAGGTTATCCAATTTATTAGCATATAACTGTAATTTCATAGTAATTTTTTATGATCCCTTATATTCCTGTTGTACCCCATATAATTTATCCTGTTTCATTTCTGATTTTGTTAATTTGAATCTTTTCTTGTTTTTCTTAGTCTAGCTAATGGTTTGTCTTTTCAAACAACCAATTCTTAGTTACTTTGACTAGTTTTATACTTTCATGTGTTTTCACGTTACTAATTAGCATCCTTTCATTTCAGTTTGAGGAAATCCCTATAGCATTTCTTGTAAAGCAGGTGTAGTGGTGGTGAACTCCCTCAGCTTTTGTTTGTTTGCGAAGTCTTTGTTTCCTTCATTTCTGAAGGACAGCTTTGGTGAGTAAAGCTTTCTCAGTTGGCAGTTTCTTTCAGCTCTTTGCATATGTCATGCCACTCTCTTATGGCCTCACGGTTTCTGAGAAATTTGTTGATAGTCTATTGGGGTTCCCTTTATGTGATGTATCACTTTCCTCCTGTTACTTTCAAAATTCTCTTTCTTTGATTTTTAATAATTCAATTATAATGCATCTTTATGAAGTCTTCTTTGGGTTTAACCTGTTTAGGGATATTTGAGCTTTAGGTACCTGGATGTCCATATCTTTCCCATTATTTGGGAAGTTTCCAGTCATCATTTCTTTAAATAGGCTTTCTACCCTTCTCCTTATAGACATTCCATAATGTGTATATTATTTCTTTTGCTGGTGTCCCCTAATTTCCATAAGCTTTCTTCATTCCTTTTCATCCTTTTTTCTTCCTCTTTTCTCCTCTAACTGGATAATTTCAAATGAACAGTCTTCAAGTTCACAGATTCTTTTATCTGATTGATCAAGTCAGTTCTCGAAGCTGTATTTCATTTTTCAATTCATTTATTGTATTCTTCAGCACCAGAATTTCTGTTTGGTTCTTTGTGATTTCTGTCTATCAGTCGAACATCTCCTTTTGTTCATGTATTGTTTATTTTGTTGAGTTGACTGTATGTATTCTTATGAAGCTCCCTGAGCTTCCTTTGAATAATTATCTTAAATTCTTTATTAGGCAATTTCTAGACCTCCATTTCTGTGGAATAGGTTACCAGAAAATTATTGAGTTTCCTTGTTGTCATTTTTCTGTGTGTGTGTGTGTGTGTGTGTGTGTGTGTGTGTGTGTGTGTTCCTTGAGGTTTTGCATTGCTGTGTTCACATGTGAAGGAGCAGTGAATTCCTCCACTGACTGGTTTTGGGAAAGAAACACTTTTCACCAGTCAGCCCAGCTGGGAATTCTGTGATTCTGTCAGACCTTATCTATGAATGCACCCGCCTCACACCTCTTGTTCCCTCTTGAGCAGGAATTCTTAAGATTGTATGCCTTCGTTTGTTTTTTTGTTTTTCTTGTCTGCACCCCTCGGCATGCAGGATCTTGGTTCCCCAGCCAGGGATTGAACCTGTGCCCCCTGCAGTGGAAGCGTGGAGTCCTAACCACTGGACCACCAGGGAATTCCCTATATGCCTTCTTTTGATCCCTCACAACCAGGCGGGGTACTGAGAGCCTCCCATTTGTTTTCCTGAGATGTAGTCCCCTGAAATGCTTGTCTTCTTCCAGTCCCACTGAGTTGAGCCAGCTGAATGCATGTGCTTACAAGACAGGGGAGAGGCTTTCCCTCGCTGTCTGGAGTACATACATGGAGCTGGCTATGGATGTGGTGGGAGGGTGGGGGAGTCAGGTGTGCAGAGCATTGGGTGTGCCCGTGCACCAGACAGGAGTGTCTGCAGACATCACATCCCAAGTGGTTGAAATGCAAGCCTCCTGATGGAGTCTGTGAGGGACTAGTAGGATCTGCTGCCATTTGTTATATTCTGAGCCTTGATTTCTGTGGGTCCTTGCAACTCTTCCTTGCTCCCAGCCCTCCAGCTGTCCTGACTCCCTTAGTATTCTCCCTTAGTGTTCTTGGTGAGATGAGAAATCACTGAGCCTCTTGGGCAGCATCTCACACCACTCGGGAAGCCAAGTGCTCAGTCACTACACTCTCACTTTCCCATGGGAGGAATCCTGGGCCAAGGAGAACTCTTAGCATTGAGCTATGCCACCTTTGGGGAGGAGTGAGACTGTTCTTCTTACCTTTCTTGTGGTGTCTGTTCTCAGATTTTTTTGCTCCACTGGTGTGCCGGAACTTCTCCACTGGGCTCCCTGACTTCCACAAAGATACTCTCATCCTTGACTGGTTGTCAAAATCAGTGCACTGTGGGGAGATGACAGTAGAAAATTCCTCTTCCACCATCCTGCTGATGTCACTCTCTTATGGACCCAAAAGTGTTATTTAAAAGCGTGTTGTTTAATCTCCAAGTATTTGGGAGTTTTCCAACTATCTCTCTGTTACTGATTTCTAGATTAATACCATTGTGGTCTGCAAGCATATCTCGTATGATCTCTCTTTTTTCAAATTTAAGGTGAATTTTGTGTCCCAGAGTGTGGTCTGTCTTGGTGAATGTTCCATATGATCTGGAGAAGAATGTGTATTCTGCTGTGTTTGGATGAAGTGTTGCATGGATTTCAATTAAATCCACTTGTTGGATTGTGCTGTTTAATTTAACTATGTCCTTCCTGCTTTAACTCTTAATTACTGATGAGGGCATGTGAAGTCTCCAACTACAATGGTGAATTCATCTATTTCTCCTTGCCGTTCTAGTATTTTTTTCCTCATATATTTTGCCCTGTGTTGTTATGCATGTAGACATTAAGTATTGCTATGTCTTCTTGGAAAATTGACACTTTGGGTTTTTTGTTTTGGTTTTTTTTTGGCGGGGTGGGGGTGTGCACAGCAAGCAGCTTGTGGGATCTTAGTTCCCTGACCAGGGATTGAACCCAGGGCCACAGCAGTGGAAGCGCCGAGTCCTAACCACTGGACCACCAGGGAATTCCCGACACTTTGAACATTATGTAATGTTCCTCGTTATCAGTGTGAGTTTTCCTTGCTCTGAAGTCTGCTTTGTCTGAAATTAATATAGCTATGCCATGTCATTTGCAGCAACATGGATGGACCTAGAGATTATCATACTAAGCGAAGTACATCAGAAAGAGAAAGACAAACACCATATGATCTCCCTTATATGTGGAATCTAAAATATGACACAAATGAACATACTAAACAAAAACAGACTCACAGATACAGAGAACAGACTGGTTTCCGGGGGGGGGGGGCGGGGGG